CAGGGCGGCTAACAGCCTTATAAAACCACAATACAATAAATATCTATATTAAAACCAAATTAAAAGAAAATATTTGAAAAGGCCAATCATTAAAATTACCCTTAAAATTACCCTTAAAAGCCCCACTAAAATTCCCTAGGCCAGACCCGCTTGTTGAAAAAGCCATGTCTTTAGGGCGCGGCGGAAGGAGGGGAGATCCGGGATCACCCGGATCTCTGGGGGTAGTTCGTTCCAGAGGGTGGGGGCTCCCACCGAGAAGGCCCTCCCCCTGGGGGTCACCAGTCGGCACTGTCTGGCTGACGGCACCCTGAGGAGACCCACTCTGTGGGAGCGTACCGGACGATGGGAGGTAACCTGCAGCAGTAACCCAATAGGCCCAATAGAAACTAAATCAAATTTAAATATTGTATCCTTTTATATGTCATAGAAAATACGGGCAGTAAACCAGCAGCAACATTGGTGGATGCTGGTCCCAATTTCTTCAAACTGGGTGGGACTAACAATAGTAGCACCAGTGATTGCTTGTTCAATTCCTATTGCTGCTGACCCAATGAGACGGGTCTGCCTCCACTCTTGTAGTTTATGGAGATTCACTGATTCCCTGAGCTATCTTGGCTAGTTGGCCAAGATGGGTGGTTTGAAATTTTAAAAATAGCTAACTAGCTAACTAGCTATTTATTTATTTATTTTTCAAATTCCAAACCATCCATCTCTCTCACAAAGGGACTCTGGGTGATGTACAAATAAAATATGAAAAACATTAAAAAGTATATAATTTTTTTTTTAAAAAAGGCAAGCAATGTTAAGGGCTTTCAGGGTGCTAACCAATTCCACGGCATGTTTTCACACCTTTCCAGAAGGCCAGGAAGGCCAGTGGGAAGAGTATTCCACTGGCTTCCTAGACCTCTCCAATTCAAATTCTTTCACAGACAGGATCTGCAACATACTTTTCCTTCCTGGCCAGATGGGATGGACTGATGTAATGGATTCCCTAGGTAGCCTGGTTCTGTGCCACGTAGAGCTTTAAAGGTCATAACCAAACCTTGAATTGGACCTGGAAGCAAACACACCCAATGCAGTTCATGCAGCAGAGGTATTACATGCACCATTTTGGGGGCATTCAAAATTGCCCACATAGCCTCATTCTGTACCAACTGAAGCTGCTGGATACTTTGACTTACCACAAAACCTAGCAAGAGGTTGATAGACTTCCATGTTTTCCCCTAGCTGATTAAATCAGCACTCACATTGCATTATAACATGACTAATCTACTAATTGACCCAATTACATTTTGATTTAATCTACCAATTCAAAGAAATTAAAACCACTCGAATGCTTTGCTTCCTTGTTTGCAGACATCTCTGTCAGCCTGCTCGCAGTTGTCGTCAGCTTCTGTGGGCTCGCCTTGTTGCTAGTCTCACTCTTCGTCTTCTGGAAGTTGTGTTGGCCATGCTGGCGAAGCAAACCCACTGCTTCAGACACAACAACAAACATCCCCCAGAGCACCACCAGCGTTCCCCCTGAGTTTTTGGAAACCAACGAGAAAAAGGAAATCGTTAAAGAAAATGGGAAGCCCTCAACAAATATCCTGGAGGCAGCAATGAAAATCAGCCACACTTCCCCTGACATTCCAGCAGAAGTCCAAAATGCTTTAAAAGAACATCTCATCAAACATGCTCGAATGCAAAGGCAGATTACAGAACCTACATCTTCGTCCAGGTAAGAGAAAGCTAAACAAACCTTTACAGAGCCTCGCTCAAAATAGACCACCTAGTTAAGGATCAAAAACAAATGAATGATGCTATCTTATTCTTAAACAAAAAATGTACAGCAGTTTTCTCAACCGGTGGTCTGCAGACCCCTCAGGGCCACAATGTCATTACCAGGGGGTCCATGAAGGCTTGAAGAAATGTTATGATGTAAATCTTGAGTTAGGTCTTGGTGGTTTGTGACCATGGTCTGTGGCCACAAAAGCGGGTCCATGGTGAGGAAAAGATTGAGAAGCACCGCTGTACAATAATAAATTCAAAAGATAAACATTGATTTCAATTAATATTCAACTCAACTTTAAGATATGTTATGTACCTGTACATATTTCTATGATAGCTTTAAGTTGTATTTAAATCCAGGGTTACATGCACTATCCTGTGGGTCTCCATGTACAGTACACTTTGATTAAGGTAAGTTAGCTGTAAGAAAAGCTGTAAGAAAAGCTGCTTAAAAGGGACTGATCTAGATCTACACTCCAATCTGTATCTAGTTTTTATTCTCAGAATCAAACATGAATGAGTATTTATGTAGCATGTAGTAAATCACAACAGTCTATGATAACATCTGACCACAGGGTAAAGCAGATTTCCATAATTTTCTGCTAAATGATATAGAAAATATTATTGCCCTTTTTCAACACATGATCTGACATCTCAAGAAACTACAAAAACAGAGAAAAGTCTGGTCACTTTAAAGCAGAATGATGCAGAGGGCTGGCATAACAGTTATACTCCATAAAATGAACCTTTTTCTGCACCAGTAGCATTCCAGCGGGAATGCAAAATATACCGATTCCTGCCATTTGTTTGACTGATTAAATTTAAAAAAAATAATCTAAAGTTAATTTAATTAAAATTAAATTAAAGGCACTGGTTCTAAATAACTTCGGGCAATTTAGCGTAATCAAGAACAATAAAAGGAAGAACAGATCACAGAAGTCCGGAATAGATGCAAATAGCTCAAATAGAAAATAGAATAGCTCAGAACAACCTACATGGGCTCAGCAGCCACCCTACCCCTAAAGCCTGGAAGAACAACTAGGTTTTTTAAAATTTCCAGAACATCATTACAATGGGAGCTATACAAATCCCTTTGAGAATGCTATTTCTGAGGAAAAGCACATTGACAGAGAAAGACCATTTCCTAGATCTCAATAAATGGCATTCTTTCGACAACCCAAGTTGCACATCAGCCTCAACTTGGGAAGTACAACCCCATCCAAAACTAAATATGGAAAGTTCCTAATGTCCTCACTCAAACTTATCGGGATTGATCCTGAGCCTAATCTTTCCCAGCCATACAATCACACCCTCTAGTCTAGACAATGCAGCAGACATTGTCAGCATCACTTGGCTGGCCCAGGAATAAGATTTATAGTTGGGTGCCATCAGCATACAAATGATATCGAATTGATGGTTAACCTCACCCAGAAGTTTCAGGTAGATGTTAAACAAAAGGGATGAGCGTATTGAATCTTGAGGCACCCCACAAATGAGACATTCTGGGCTTCATCTTTCCCTCTTGTCAACACCAACTAGAACCAGCCATGGTCCATCCCTCATTCTCACAATTGTGCCCATATTTCTCTCCTCTAATCTGCATGATTGAGTAAAGACCTGAAGATCAGGGAGTTTGCTGATATGAACTCCCTAGGGGACTTTGCTGGTGTAAGTTCTTTCTAATCTTGAGCTAGTACAGGGGTAGGCAACCTCGTCTCTTTTATGACTCATGGACTTCAACTCCCAGAATTCCTGAGTCAGCTATGGAAGGAGACGAGGCTGCCTACCCCTGAGCTAGTACATGCAGCGTTTGTGGTGGGAAGAAGTTACAAAAACATTAAGGCAGGGCCAACAGCTGAAACAATGTTCACTGGGAATCCTAGGAATTGCATTTGGAGACAATGGCATAGAAATTGGAAATCTCAGCTTTCTGAGCCTTGGAGAAGACAGTTCAGAAGATAGATGAAAACAGAAGAGATATGCAGACCAAATCAAATATTGTTTAGTCACATAATTCCTGGCAATCCATGGAATAATAAAACAACAACAACAACAACAACAACAACAACAACAATAATAATAATAATAATAATAATAATAATAATAATAATAATAATAATAATAATAATAATAATAATAGAGTTGGAAGGGACCTTGGAGGTCATCTAGTCCAACCCTCTGGTCAGGCAGGAAACCCTATACCATTTCAGACAAATGGTTGTCCAATCTTTTCTTAAAAACTTCCAGTGTTGCAGCACTCGCAACTTCTGGAGGCAAGTTGTTCCACTGATTAATTGTTCTAATTGTCAGGAAATGTCTCCTTAGTTCTAGGTTGCTTCTCTCCTTGATTAGTTTCCACCCATTGCTTCTCGTCTTGCCTTCAGGTGCTCCCTTTTTTTCGTGGCAACCTCCGAGATATTGAACGCTGCTATCATGTCACCCCTCATCCTTCTCTTCATTAAACTAGACATACCCAATTCCAGAAACCATTCTATATATGTTTTAGCCTCCAGTTCCCTAATCATCTTTGTTGCTCTTCTTTGTACTCTTTCTAGAATGTCAACATCTTTTTTACATCATAGTGACCAAACCTGGATGCAGTATTCCAAGTGTGGCCTTACCAAGGCATTATAAAGTGGTATTAACACTTCACGTGATCTTGATTCTATCCCTCTGTTAAGTCAACCTAGCACTGTGTTGGCTTTTTTGGCAGCTGCAGCACACTGCTGGCTCATATTTATCAAGAATAATGTTTACCAGTATAGATTTTCTGTGTATGCACTTACAAGAGAAGCAGGTTAACAATTCTTGTACAATTTCACAAGTGCTTCAACAAAAGAAAGGGTTTTAAAATGCACACACCTCCACAGCACTTCCATCTTAGTCCCTGCTCTTCTCATTTCATCTGCACAAGATATGTATTTTATGTACTGGTTTGGACAAGAATTTTGGCAGGGGTGAGGAAAAATGATAATCAATTTATTACACAATCAAGTTTTATGAGCTAGATGAATTCACAATTCAAAGAAATAATTCATGACTTCAAGCAATGCTTGCAATTTAATTTTACTCTTAACTTCCAATGTACCTTGATCATTATGTGACCTAAGGTGCCCTTTGAACCTTTTTTTACAATACAGGAATATGAAGAGCACAGGTGGTCCTCAACTTATGACCACAATTAAACCCCAAATTTCCAAGCAGGACAGTTGTTAAGCGAGCTTTGCCCCACTTTATGACCTTTCTTTCCACACTTGTTAAGTGAATCACTGCACTTGTTAAGTTAGTAACATGGTTGTTAAGTGAATCTGGCTTCCCCATTGACTTTGCATGTCAGAAAAGGTGATCACATGACCCCAGGATACTGCAACTATCATAAATACATGCCAGTTGCCAAGTATCCGAATTTTGATCACGTGACCATGAAGACGCTACCATGGTCATAAGTGTGAAAAATGGTCATAAGTCCATAAGCACTTTTTTCAGTGCTGTTGTAACTTTGAATGGTCACTAAATGAATAGTTGTAAATTAAGGACTACCTGCACATGACCAAAAAACAGGTTTAGATATAGGGGCTGGGGTGAGTATGGATGTGTGTGTCTGTGTCCATGACTATAATAGATAAGGCACAAAATATGTTAAGGTAAGAAATAACACAAAGCAATGAACTAGCTATCAAAAAACCAATATATAAAACCAATTTATTCTTTACCATTAATAGTTCACGTCCATCCTTATCCAACAATCAGGATTCTATCAAGACAACTGAGAACAATATGCTAGTGCTTAGCACTTAGCTGTCACATCAACCAAGAAATGATTTAAGAAGACGGTGATTAGACGCATCTAATTTTAATGTACTAAGAACATTAAAGGCTAAATGCTTGGAGCTTGTATTTGAAGTAATTGAAAGAATACTTTCTTAAACAGAAAGTTCTGGACAAAAAAATTAGAAAAAATTCTGTGTGCCTTGTTTTGCAAATTATGGCCAGTGTTGCATGTATGCAATTCTAACTGATTGATTGATTATGTGCCATCAAATCATTTTTGACACCCAGCCACCACAGAGATATATTTTCTTTACAAGCATCTATCCTTAATCTGTTCTTTCAAGTCTTCCAACAATGCACTCAGTACCACTGTAACTGAGTTCATCCATCTTGCTGATGGTCGTTCTCTTCTCTTTCCCAGCGTTAGAGCCTTTTCCAGAGAGCTGGGTCTTCACATAACAAATTTGAAGTAGGATAATTTCAGCTAGGTCAAGTAAGATTTGTTCAATGATCCATCAATTTGTTTTCTTGGCTGTCCTTGGTATTCTCAGGAGTCTTCTCTGACACTCACGTTCAAAGGTGTCAATATTCTTCCTATCCTACTTCTTTAAAGACCAACTTTTGCTTCCAAGGAGTGT